TAAAGTACCTGGGACAATGGAGGAAGAGGAAGATACCAGCGAAGTTGGGTCTTGGAGAAGTGGCATCTTATTTTCCCATCCTTTCTCTTCCACATTCTCTGGGCCACCCAGACTGTCACTCATTGTAGCCTAAAGTCTCTCTTCTAGGAAGTCATCTCCATTTGCTCTCAGCATCTCCAGTGTTCCCCCTGCCAATCTTCCAACATTTCAAGACTGACAACTGAGACTTAACTGGTCCATTCCTATTTTTCAATCCCTTTTCCACGGAAAGTTTGTTTTTTTAACCACTGATGTTAGTTTCCTTGGTGGAAGTAGATAGCAGGAAATGTTTTTCTCTGCCCCATTAAGAGGTAGTTTAAATACTGCCCCTTTATACATAAAACTGACTTGCATTTCTTACTGGCCCTTGAATAAGCTGAGTCCAGCTGTGGGAGGGTGAAACTCCCCCTGACAATAAGCTGAATGATAGTTCAATATGACCTGGGGGCAGGGGTGTGGGGAAATCATAGCAATAATGATATTTTCCAAAGATTTTCTGTTTTATAGAATAATTTCAAACCCATTATCTCAGTTGATTCCCATAATAATCCTATGAGGTAGACATAACTATCTACATTTAACAGATGAGAAACTGAGGCTCAAAGAGGTGAGTCACTTGCCAAGATCAGAAAACCAGTTAGTGGCAAAATTAGACTTCAGCCAGGCATAACAGCGCATGCTTGTAATCCCAGAGGCTCCGGAGGCTGAGGCTGGAGGATTGCAGGTTCAAAGCCATTCTCAGCAACTTAGCAAGGTTGTAAGCAACCTAATGAGACCCTGTCTCAAAAAATAAAAAGGGCTAGGGATGTGGTTCAGTGGTTAAGCACCCTTGAGTTCAATCCCCAGAACCCAAACAAACAAACAAACAAAAACCACATAGGATTCTGAAGCCTAAGCACTTCTAGGAAGAATTGCAGGGTTCTGAAAGGCAGATGAGTGGTATGGGGGAAGACTTGGTAGCAGGCATAGCCTGTGTGGGTGGGTAGGAATTCTGGAGGAAAGAGTGGGTGAGCATTCCAGCAGGAAGGAGCAGTGGGCTTATTTGAGAGTCTTTAACTTGTTGGGTCCCATCTGCAGGTTGTGGAGTTGGCAGTTTAGAGTTGCCCCCTCCATCCCCATCACTGGAGAATCCTCCCACTCCTATTGCAAAAGTCCTGGTTCAGGGGAGTCCTTGGGCTCCCAGGCCCCACTAAAGCCCAGATTCTCCCAGCAGAACTCTCAAGTCGATCCCAGTTGCAATTTGAGCTCAAGGTACTCTCAGCATTCCTGTACCCCATGCTGGCCCCAGGGCCCAGTCTGTGCTCCTTGCCCATATCCTGAGACCCTGAGAAAAAAACCTCAACCATCTGTCCAAGTTCCCTCCTGGCAGGTCAGTGCTCCCCCCGCCATGGACAGGCTCCTGCGATGATGGATCGCTGGCCCCAACGCACATATTATTATGAAATGGGTTTATTACACTCTAAATCTCTCACTAATGTGCCGCTGTTTAATCCCTTTATCCAATTCTCAGTCTCTTAGGCTCAGCCACAGCTCTCGCCACCCAGGACTAGGTCTGAATGGTTTATTGGGTGATTTTTGACTTGGGGGGAGGGCAGGACAGGAGCTCTTTAAAGCTCATTAGCCCTGAATGATGTTCAAGGACTGGTCTGGGGGCCTCGAACAAGTGGGTCCCAGTTCACTAGTGGAACTCCTCTGTCGGTCTGTCCACTTCCATCTTTCATCTCTGTTGACTCATTTGCTGGCTCCTTCACTCCCCTCTGCCTCCTGGCTCTCACAGCTTTCTCACCTTCTCTCTGACTCTTGGACTGTCTCTTGTTGTCCCTGTCTTCCCCTGAAGCCACACTGTGTTTGGAACGATGAGGTCCACTTCCCCCTGGATGGGGAGGGCTGTGGTCCCTGACCCCTCTCACGGGTCTCCAGCCCCTCTGTTCTGGAGGTTCCTTTCCTTCTGCTAGATCTCTGTCCTCCCAAGGCAATTCTTCACCCCAGCCTCACTAACCAGTCACCTTCCTCTCTTGGCACCTGCTATTGCTGTCCCCTCTGGCTTTCCTCTTCTACCCCCAACTCCTCCCATCTGCCCAGCTCTCAGACCCATGCCCTGCCAACACCAGTAGCCTCCAGTACCTCCTCTGCCTTCTGTCTTGGGCTGACACCTCAGGTCCCCAGGCCTCCTCCTTTCCTTCCCCTCAACTGTCTGGCCACCTCCTGGCTGGCCTTCTCTCCCTCCCTTGGTCTCTTTCTCTGTCTCTCCCAGTGTCTCTCCCTGAGCAGTCCCTCCCCACTCTGACACACCAGCCGGTAAGGCAGCCAAGGCTTCCTGCTGTCAGCTGGGGAATAGATAAAGATAAATGATATTATGTTAAATTCCACTTAATGACAAATTTTTAATTTTCTGAACATGGTCATTTTCTGGCTAGTGAATCAAGTGGAGGGAGCTAATTACATGAAGATCTGAACAAAAATAACTCCTAATTTTCAAGGATAATGGAAGAGAAATGTTGGAGATTAATGGCACTATTTATCTTTTTTAAATTTCTATCTTTCTCTGTGATAGCCGTGCTCCCCAAGGAAAATATTCATAAAATGAAATTGAAGTCGTAACTTAATAGGTTATTAAAATTTTTGAGTGCATATCACTTTCCTTCCGCAGCACTGTAAATTTAAATTGAAGTTTGCGGCTCCCCGAGTCACCAGCGGAGTTTTTTTTATGATGGCACAATAGAGAGAAACATGCATCTTTGTCAGGAGGTATTTGCTAGTCTAATTTTATGGCAGGCCGGATAATCAGACGGGAATGGCAGCGCAGGGGGAAGCTGACAAGCCCGCAGCCGGCAGCCATGTGTTTCCATTAGCGCCCCGAGCTAATGGAATGGGCTTCTCTGGACTCTCATTTTCCACTTCAGTCTTTTATCTTGATTTAAAGTGAGGGCGCCCAATATTCAGGGCCTGTCATTTTTCTCTCTCTCACACTCCCAAGGCTCTTCCTCACTTCTCCCCTCCCACTTCCTCTGCTCCAGGGCCTGCTCCCTTTCATCTCTGGGTCTTGAGCATGGGCGCTGCTCCCCCCCTCCCCTCCCTCCATCCTCCCCCCCCATCCTCCCCCATCCTCCCCAGCCCTGTGGACTCCACCCTGGGAGGAAGAAGAGAGAGGAGGCAGGGGCCAGCCGGGCAGCCACTGGGGTTAGTTATAAATTTGAGTGAAGACTTCTCCCCGTGGGCTCATCAGACCAACCCTCCAATGGGGACTGCATGTGTGTGTAGGGGGCTCTCCAGGCTTGAGCCCATCAGGCCCCCTAATTGAGTGTTAATGGAGTTGCATGGGGGAAGGGGCGCAGCTGTTGGCTCAGGGGACCCAAGGGCAGCGAGAATGATCACCATCTCTCTTCCAGCCCCTGTCTCTGTTCCCATCCAGGTCTCTTTTCCTGGCTTTGTCTCTGAGTCTCAGACTTACAGACCTAGAGGGAAATTTAAATTGGGTCCAGACCAACACCCACATTTTATAGATGAACAACTGAAGCCTGGAGATGGGAGTGGATAGGGAATGTCTTGTCCAGGGTCTCAGGGCTAATTAGTGGCTGAGATAGAGCAAGAAGTTGGACCTCAGAAATGCTCTTTTACTGGACTGCACTGCTTCAGCTTCTTTTTTGCTCATTTTTTTTTTTTTTGGCAGTGCTGGGAGTTGAACTCAGGGCCTCAGGCACAGCCTCATGCATGCAGGGTAAGCACTGTATCACTGAGCTATATCCCAGACCGTTTTTGCTCTTGTTTTTTTTTTTTTTTTGACAGAGAGAGAGAATTTTTAATATTTATTTTTTAGTTCTCTGCGGACACAACATCTTTGTTGGTATGTGGTGCTGAGGATCGAACCCGGTCCGCACGCATGCCAGGCAAGCGCGCTACCGCTTGAGCCACATCCCCAGCCCCCCGTTTTTGCTCTTGATGGAAGCTGACATCTTTGTGTCTGTCTCAGCTCCTACCTGACTTTACCCACCTTGTTATGGGCATTCCCCAAAGCACTGACCTTGGCACCCCAAGGTCATCATTACTTGTGTTCTTTCCTTAGCTCCACATTCTCAGTTACCAAGTCCTACCATCTCTTGTTTTGCACTGTCCTCTTTTCTCTTCTTCACTCAGGTTCCCCCACATGCTTACTCATGTCCCAACCATGTTCTTCCCCCAACCCCTATCTCTTAGTGACCTTTCCCAATCACCCCAAATTCCCAAATGCTCTCCTGACCACACTCAGAAACTCACTCTGCTGATAGAATTAAGTTCAAGTTCTTTCTCAAGCTTCACATCCTGGGCAACTCAGCCCACTATCTCCTTTCTGTCTTTTCTCCTCTTTGTCCACGTGTATCTAGATAGGGTCAGCTCCAGTCAGGGTGGCACCTCCACACCTTTGTTTTTGGTTTCCCCACTAGAAATGTCCTTGACCCTCCAGCTCTACCCACCATTCATGACCCACCTCAAGCTACACCCTTGCTGGGCTCTACCACCCCATTGATATTCCCCCTTATCCTTCTTGGGGCTTCTTTTATCTCTCACCCTCCAAGCTGGCCACTGTGTTATTTGTCACCTGCTCACCCCCTGATGAGATGGTCATAGCACTTGCTTTGACTCATACCATGCTGAACCAGCAACTCTTTTTTTTTTCTTTTTTTTTTAAGAGAGAGAGAGGCAGAATAGAGAGAGAGACACAACATCTTTGTTTATATGTGGTGCTGAGGATCGAACCTGGGCTGCATGCATGCCAGGCGAGCGCGCTACCGCTTGAGCCACATCCCAAGCCCCCAGCAACTCTTTATTCAGTTTACCTACTTCATTCAAGTGGTCACAAATACTCACCTGGGTTACATATCCTATCCTGCATGTCCCAAGCACAGCAGTGGAGACACCTGGATAAGGAAGCCCGCCTGCATAGAATCATAGCATGTTTGAAAGGGATCTTAGACTTCAACTCCCTCATTTTATAGATAGGGAAACTGAGACCAGACTAGAGAGGAGGTGGTGCCTAGAGTTCCGCTATGAGTTAGGAAGGCTGTAGAGACTCAGGCCCAGCTCTCTAGACTTGTATTTCAGCTCCTTCTCCACATTATCATAATGCTCCCAGGGTTCAGGCTGTCATTGTCACTTGTGTAAGTTGGAAACAGTACTTTTCATTTTAGGCCCTCAGTTCTTCCATGATGGAGAAAAGTCCTGGACCATGGTGGCTTCCTCAGAATGGGGTCAGGGGTAATTGGGCAACCCTGTGGCAGTGGCAGAGCTTTTCAAGGCAGTGTCTACTTGTCCCACTCCTCCCCTGTCTTCCAGAATGCTCAACCTCTGCCCCTGTGTGTTCCCTGGCCTCGCCATTTCCCAGGATTTTGATTCCTCCCCCACTTTCTGGCCCCCATCATTGTTGCAGGCATGTTGCAGGCATGTTGCTGGCATGGCCATTTCCACTTGGCTGCCCATGCCACACAGGTCAGGTGGCGAGTGGCCTGGGCCGCCCCCACGCCGTGTTTAGCAGTGGAGCTGAGCGGAGGCGGTGCCTAGTTCCCCAGCCACAGTCTCTCGTTAGAAAGAAATTAAAAGCCACTCAATTTTGGCTAATATCCCTCTGAAGGCCTTTAACTCCACCTGTGACTAACCCATTCATAATCGCTCCGTTTTAGTGGCTCAGGCTGATGTAGCCTCAATTAATTTGGGAGGAGAGATAAACGGCCATTCCTCTTTGTCTCCCATCCTTCCTCCCTTCCTGCCCTCTCTGTGTCTCCCCCACAGCCTCTCTGTATCTCTCTGCCTCTGGCTCAGTCTTCCTTTCTCACCTCTCTTTCTCATCCTGATCTGTGGGTCTGTTTCTCTTGACACTTCTCTCTCCAACTCTTTTTGTATCTCTTCCCAAGTCTGTCTGAGTTTTTATTCTCTCTCCATTTTGTTCTCCCTCTTTCCCAGTCTCTCTGTCTGTCTCTCTTACTTCCTGTCTCTTTTTTCTTTACTTCATTATCTATTTGTCTGACCCCTTTTCCTTGATTCTCCCTCCCATTTCTTTTGGTCCCCTACTTTTGGTCACTTGGACCACTACTACTCAGTCATCTTTGGGGCTGCCTCCCCTCTCCACTGGTGTGCCTGCATGTTTTGTTTCTCCCTGTTTTGGATACAGTTTTTCTGAACCTGTCCCTCTCCATCTATGTCCCATCCTGTTCTTTGCTGTCTCTTTGTCTCAATGCTGCATCTCTGTTTGCTGCTTCTGAGTTTCAGCTTCCCTCAGCCCCTTCTGTTTTAGCCCCCTTTCTGCGGCTTCTCTTGTTCCTCCCTTTTCCAGGGCTTTTCCTTCCTTTGCTGTTATTCTCTGTCTCTCCATGTGTCTCCGTTTCTGCTGTGTCTCCCTGAGTTTTCTCCCTTTTTCTCTCACAGAGATGACTTTCCCCTTCCCCTCCCCTATAGCTCCAGCCCCTTTTCTCCTGGTGTCTCAGACCCCCCAACCCATGAGTCCTTTTGTCTTCCCCTCCCCTCTCAATTATTATTAATGATAAAAGCTCAAACATCACATCAGTAATTTCTGAGTGAGTTTTGCAATGAAACTGGGGCCTTCTCAGCCCCTCCCGAGTCCCACAAATTTTACTTTTGTAATTTCACGCCTCTGGTTATCACCACGCTGCTCCGTCCCTCTCTGCCTCTCAGCTCCCCTCCCTTCCCCCCTCCCCCCCGGAGAGAGCACTTAAACTTGTTTTCATTCCCTTATTCTTTATTTTTTTAATGTCCACTCTCTCCGGAGTCAGTAATGTTCTTCCTCTCTTTCCTCTCCCATTTTCTGTTAATTCTGCGCCATCTGCCTTAGCATCTGTTAAAAATAAAATTTCCCTCACACAATGAGAAGCCTCCCTGCTCCTCCCCTCCCCCCTGCAGCCCCCCAGGTTTGGTGCTGGAGCCATCAGATGCCACTTCCTCTCCTGGGATCCTCCCCCCTCCCCCCAGTCCCTAGTCTGGTTTTCAGAGCGGAGACACAGCTCTGGGCAAGCAGGCAGCAGGGAGGGAGGGGGCTGCCCAAGGGGCTCGGAACTAGAGGGGGCAGCTGCAGAGGGAGCTAGAACTGGGGGGTGCAGAGGATGGACCAAGCTCCACCCACTTGCTTTCGGGACCTTGCCCAAGCTGAAGCTTTGAGCTGCTGAGACAGAGCACCTGCACAGGTAGGTGACAACAGGTGGGGCAGAGGTTTGAGGAGTTAGCCCTTGCTCCCTAAGAAAGGAGATATTGGTAAAACCATTTTTCTGGAACACCAGGGTGTGAGGTTAAGATGGTAGTAATAGTGAATTTGGGAGATGAAAGAGCAGCCCCCAAGTCCCAGTGGCTAGCCCCACCTTGGGCTCGATATGATGATAGACAAGCTGTCCTCAAGACTGGCTGTCCAGGATTCCCTGCCCATATCTGCTGGAGGACTGTGTTCCTGCTGCCCTGGGCTCAGCTGGGAGAAGGAAGGGGAAGGGAATCAATTGACTCCCATGCCCTGAAGACTTCAGGAGACAGGAAACTCTTGGGTGAAAGCCAGCTTCCCAGAGGGCCTGAGACTGTGTGTTTGTGTGCATGTGGGTGTGTGCCTGCGAAATGATGATCCCCTGACTCCATTGATCTCTGTAGGTGTGTCTGGGAAGTGCGTGTATGTGAAGTGGGTTTTGACTGATAGTCTGCCACACTATGTCTGACTTCATCTCTCAAGTGTGAGTGTACTGTGTGTGCTATGGTAGGTATGTAGCAATACCTCTCCATGAGATGGTGTGTGACAGTGTGTAGTATGTATATTATGACTATGTACCCCTGTATCTGTGCAAATCTTAAATTTTAGAACTATCTTTCTGCATATGTACTCTGTGTATAATAGTTCCTATCTTACTAACTTGGTGTATTTGTATGTGGAACTTAACATGCTTTGTGTTATCTGTGTTTATACACTACCGAATCCCTCTTGTGATGTTGGGCATAACTGTTTCTCAGTGTGATAATACCTTTTCCTAGTGATAAGGTGCTCTGTATATGACCAATGGCAAATTGGGATTTGTGTGCAAATTGCTTTACTTCTGAGCAAGGTGGTGAGTTTGGGAGCCTCTTTCTATAGTAGGGTGATCCTATATGACTGACTCTCACAACACCACAACACATGTATATGTGTATTTTATATATATATATATATATATATATATATATATATATATATATATTTTTTTTTTTTTTTACTCAGTGCCACATAAATGTGTGGGTACCTGAGGCTTGGCTGTGCTAGACATGGGTAGGGCAAGGCATGCACAATTATGTTGGTGAGTCCAGTAGGGTCAATTAAGAGAAGGTCACAAAATGGGGAATTGAAGCAGTTCAGCAAGAGGGGTGGTGAAAGGCACAGGTTTTAACACCAAACAGTCCTAGCCCATTTCCTAGACCTGACCCCTGATTGGGCCAGCGACATCAAGTTTCTGAACACTCTGAGTCTCAGTTTCCACATTTGCAAAAGATATAAGAATAACCATATCTATGGCACAGGGTTGCTGTGAGGATTAAGGGCAAAAGATGTCAAACAACTTGCCTGGCACCTAATAGTAGTAGCAGTGGTAATAATAATAATGCCCTCTTAATGCATACTATTATATATATCAGCTTCTTCTCACATCAATTCTAGAAGAGTACTTAACTGTTTTAGAGATGAAGAAACTGAGACAGAGTATAAATAACTAAGATTAGACAGCTGATGGTAGAGTATCTGTTCCGCAAATGATAGCTTTATTTATTAAGTAGATCTTCCTGCAACTACTGCTAATGTGAATGTGTGTGTATGTGTAGGTATATGCATCAGACACTTTATTCTTCCTTATAGGGTCTCTCTCCCCAGGCCCCAACCAGCACCTCAGAGGAGCTGAAGGCTCCTGGGACTGTTTTGGGGAACTGGACAAAAGACAGGCTGAGGAGAAGGAAATGCACTGCGTTCCCACCGCCTCTTGCCAGCCTTGATCGACACCAAAGACGCCGGTAATCTCTCTCTGGCCCGAGGGGAGCAGCAGCGTTTGTGAAACAGATTTTTACAAAATGTTTTGACCCTGCTCTCCCCTCCCCCCGCATCCCTGCCTGGCACCGTGTCACCTAATTAAATCAGCCTTCGCAGGCGTCTCCGCTCCCTGCTAATTGTGCCCTGGGCCGGCTTCCGGAGGCCGCTCTCCCCACCCCCAAACCACCACCCCCTACTTCCGAGGACAGTGGGGCTCCACGGGGGCCGGAGGTCCCCAGGGGACCTCCCGTGGCGATTTCCGCAGGCCTCCCTCTGACTGTTCTGCATCCCGGGACACTGAGGCCCAGGCTCTAGCCCTCCGCTGGGCCGGGCTTCTGCCCTAGGACCCGGGTCCAGGTCTGAAATGACCCGGGGCCTTGGGGAGGCCAGCCCGAGCGTAGCCGAGTAATTGTCTCCGCCAGAAGAGGAGCCGGAGCAGACGGCTCGGAAAAGCCCGGATTTCTTTCCCCTTCACCGGCTGCGCGAGGCCGGCCGGAAGCCGGGCGGTTTTATTTACAGTTCCTCCCGCGAGCGCGCGCCGAGCGCGGGCTGCGAGGGCGCCGGCCGCGTCGCCTCTGTCCAGGGTGCTGAACGGCCGCGGAGCCGGCCGCTCTTCTGCGTCTGCTACGATAATGACAATAGCTAAGACCACTACTGGAGACTCTTACTCACCATTACCAGGAGCCACCAAGAGTTAAAAGCTTCCAAGCTCTGCATAATTTAATCCTAGCAGCAACCCTGGGAAGAGAGGTTTCCTCACTTTAAAGATGAGAAAGCTGAGACAGAAGAGTTGGAGTTGGTGATGGTGAAGGGAGAGTTTCACTTCGTCTCAACTGTCTGATTTCTTGTTTCTTTCTTTTCTTTTCTTTTCTTTTTTTTTTTTACAACCAAGAATATGTTCATATATTACTTGTGCTTTAAAGATAAGCTTTTAAAAAAAGCCAATATCTTTTCTCAATGACAGAAAATTTCTGGACAAATAGCACAGATTTTTCAAAGGGAAAAGTGATTCACTCAAACTTTAAAAAGAGGAAGAGAGGCAGGGAAAACAATCATATGCATTGTCGGATGACTTTGTTTGCTTCCCTGCTTGAACAAACCTTATGAGGGGGAAAAAAAAAGATGAGGATGAACTGAGAATTTGATGTTATTAGAGATGATTGACAATTTTGTTAGGTGTAATTATGATATTGTGGTTATAGATTTTTTAAAAGTCTGTAGTTGTTAAGTCTTTGTCTTAAAAAGAGACATTAAATGACTTACACCAGGTTACTTAAGAGCCTCATTTTCTCAACTACTCTGATAGCTCACCACAGGCAGATACCACATGTCTATAACTTCATATGTTATTAGACCTGTCTACAGGCTTTATTTTACTTTCTATCAGGGATTAACTCAAGGCCACTTTGCCACTGAGATATAGTCCCAGTTTTTCTTTATTTTTTATTTTGAGACAAAGTCTTGCTTAGTTGCTGAGGTTGACCTTGCACTTCCAATTCTCTGGCCTCAACTTCTCAAATGGCTGGAATTACAGGTGTGCACCACTATGTCTGGCTGTCTACATGTTTGTGTGGCCATCACTGCCTGGATTGGTATTAGTTCTGGTATTATATCTCTGTGAGAATGCAGCTGGCAAATTTTAAGTGCCTACTATATGACAGACTTTATTTAATGATATCTTACAACATTTTAAACCCAGCAATCCTGAGAGGGAGGAATTACTATTCCAGTATTACAAATGCAGGAATGGAGACAGAGAAAGTTAATTTGCCCGTGGTCTTATAGTTAGTAAAGGATGGAACTGGAACCCAGGTATTTCGACTCTACTCCCTAATGTTCTTGTTAATTGATTAAACCACAGTAGCCTTATTAGTGTGTGTAAGACTTGTGCTTGAGTATGACTTCATCTAGTGGGTGGAAGAAAGGAACTGTGTATGTAGTCACAGCAGGGACCCTCTTCTTGTGATGCACTGGGTTGAGAGATACAGGAAATTGCAGATCAGTGAGGAAGGTTGATTTGAAATGAACCAATCAATGGAAATGATGATGTCCACTAAAGATTTACATGACCTGAAGAATTTATCTGGTGACAAAATGCAATTAAATTTGATTTTGAAGTTAGAATTTTCCTCTCCATAATAACAAAAGATATCATTCATTAAGCATCTCCCAAGCCTCCATCCATCTCCTTACCTGAAATCATGCATAGAAACTCTGCATAAAGCCAGATGTGGTGGTACACACCTGTAATACCAGTTACTGGAGAGATCGAGGCAGGAGAATCACAAGTTTGAGGTCAACCTGGGCAACTTAGAGTAACTGTCTCCAAAAACAAAATACAATGGCTGGGAATGTGGCTCAAGTGGTAATGCACTCACCTGGCATGTGCGGGGTGCTGGGTTCGATCCTCAGCACCACATAAAAATAAAATAAAAGATGTTGTGTCCACTGACAAGTAAAAAATAAATATTAAATTCTCTCTCTCTTTGAGAGAGAGGGAGAGAGAGAGAGAAAATGAATTTTAATATTTATTTTTAGTTATCAGCGGGCACAACATCTTTGTTTGTATGTGGTGCTGAGGATCGAACCTGGGCCCCACGCATGCCAGGCGAGTGAGCTACAGCTTGAGCCACATCCCCAGCCCCCCCCCTTAAAAAAAAAAAAACAGGGAGGGGAGGGGCTTGGAATGTGTTTTAGTGTAGAGCACCCCTAGGTTCAACTCTAATACCACAAGAAAACAAAACAAAATATGCATAAAGCCCAATATCTGGGACAGAATAATAAAGAGTCACTGTTGCTATTGAGGGGCTAAGCAAGATACACAAAAACAAGACCTGGAGTTAGAACTCGGTATAATATTGGTCTCATACTTCTTTAGCTAAGTTACTTTGAACCAGTGATTTACCTTCTTTGGGCATTGTTACCCTCTTCAGTGACAGGGAGATAACCATACTTTAAAAAATTGTAAAAAAAAAAAACTTCAACAAGATAATGTAAAATGTTTGACATGCTACCTAGTACATATTAAATGCCCAATAAATGTTAGCAGTGTACTTTGTAGAGGTGTTTTACATATACTCTCTCTGAGCCCTGTCACAACCCTAGAAGGGACCTGCTATTCTATTTCAGGTTCTTTTGTATTCTAAATTCATACTTGTTCTTTACTCTGCTACCTGCTTTTCCTTGAGGGGCCTGCTTTGTTTGATTTTTTTCCAAATATTTATTTTTTACGTGTAGATGGACACAACACAATGCCTTTATTTTTATGTGGTGCTGAGGATCAAACCCGGATCCCGCCCGTGCTAGGCGAGCGCTCCACCACTGAGCCACAATCCCAGCTCTGTTTGAATATTTCTGAAAGTCAGTATAGGGAGCTTGGCATACAGCAGGACTTTCCTATAGGAGAAAGAGCAGTTGGGAATCATGAGATTGTAATTAACACTCTAGAGCTGCTAACTCATTGTATGACCTGGGTCCAGTCACATTTTTCTACCTATTATCTATCTATCTATCTATCTATCAGGGGTTCAACTCAGGAGTGCTTTGCCACCCAGTCACATTTTTTTCCCTCAGAATCTCTGTTATCTGTAAAAGAAGAAGAGTAGACTGGAGGAGCTATAATATCATAAGATTTTCTGAGAACTTTGTATGGATTCAAGAAATTTGAGAATAGGAAAGTATGACTGAATTCTGTGGGACTCAGAGTGTATAAGACAGGGCTTTGGTGGAGATTGTAGATATGTAGATGAGATTGCAACAACACAAATGACAATGACTAGGAGGGACAAAGTGTATCAGAATGAGACTGCATAGAAATGAATATTGGGTAACCAAATATATTTATGTAGCTGGATGTATATAAGCATCAAATTCTGTGAGTGAATTGTATGCAAAGATGTGAGCATAATGGTATGAAAATTATAGTTAAATTAAGTGAGAGAGAATACATGAGTGTAGCTTGAAGAGAAATATATGGATTGTGGGACTATATGTGAGTGTGTGCACACAGAGGTGGTATATATGTGCGGGATACATATATACATATGTGTGGATTGATGGAGCAGAATAATGGAAGATTCTGTGAAGTAGGTACTTCATACAGGAAGAGCCTGAGCCATATACAATCTCTCCCTTCCTACCCTTACAGGGCCCTTTAGGATGTCCTATGGTCAAGTC